AATAAGCGTCGAATATTGGAAGCAAATTTGGGCGGGAGGAAAGAAAGAGTTGCTTTGTGTGAAGCATTTAGGTTGTAAAACGAAATCTGTGGCCATGAGCTATAGCAATGCGTTTGTTATTTCCTCTGAAATCGCCCTATTTATTGGCTGTCTTCTTCTTTCCGAAAAAGAGCAACAAATGATTTTGCAGGGTTAAGTTTTTCGTAACTGATAAGTTTAAGTAACTGATAAAATGGAAAAGAAACGCTACGTCCTGATTTGTCGCCTGATATTGCCACTTTTATACAAAATTTCTAGACAATTTGAACAACTGTTCGTTAATCTTTGTGAGGTTCATTGCATGTGGAAAATATTTTGATAAAACCCAGATATATAAACGCTTCATACTTAGATGTTTCCTGTTACTTAGATGTTCAATCTTTGTAACAACAACAATCAACAAAATTTCTTCATAGTGAATGAAAAAGACAACCATTAAAAAAACATAATGATAATACCTATTGTATACATGTTTTGCACCATTTCAGTGGTGTATATTTAGTTACATATAAAGTGATCTCGTCTCAAAGAAAAAGGTCAAAACATTTCCTACCTGTTCTCCCATTGAATCGCTGTTTATAAAGGCCCGTGTTAAACAAAATGTTTTACACTCTTATACCTGCAGTGATTTAATCGATACATCTTTCTCGTGCGCAATCAATTCGCTGCTTTAAAGAATAATTTACAACCCCAACATGGGTTACCTATTGGACAATAATATGTCGTACGTGTAATGTTTGCCTACGGTATTACGTGCATTGAGTTAGGCCTGAAAATTGTGAATATGGATTCATACAGGTTAGTCCTATGTATTTTATACCTAAAAACGTAGCTCTCAATTAAGTAGAATGATGAAATAACAGTCTACATTATTAAGTCACGTGTTCAAGCACAACTAGTGCTTGTGAAGTAGTTTGAAGTTCTATAATATTTCAAGTGGAGGTTTTTATGTAGACATGTACATGCATACATAGGAATTGAATTAACGCCTCAACAACCGCTTTAATATACCCATTTTATTACTCCATGAAGTAAATGCTGTTCATGAGGACATTTCCACTAGCGACAAGCCTAAATAGCAGTAATTTTGTTCTTGTAAAATCGATGAAGTGGCTTGTGAAAAAAGCTTTTAGGTAGAATTAATTAAAGCTTCTTTGTAGCACCGTTACATTTTACCATTGATTCGTATGCGTTTGTTGGGACTCGCGTTTCCATTTTTGAAAATTAGCCGACAGTGAGCATGCGCACCGTTTTTCTTACCTATATAAATGTTTATTTTTATATAATCCGCATCCGGGGATTCTATTCTAAACCAGAAAATTCTCTACGCGCCGCCCTAGCTACTACAAGACTTACTGTGGTTGTTATGACGCCGGCATGATGGGCGCGTACTCTGCATCCGTCGGCGACTCTTGCAACATGAAATATTTCGATTAGGTGTCGAATGGCTCTTTCAAGTGTATAGCAAACTCCTGCAAAGGTTTCTTACATAGGGTCCTAGTTTTCCCATATCTCGAGCACCAGCAAGTGGAGGAGATAGTAATAACGCAAAGCAAAATATGTCTGCAGATTGCTTTGTTCTATCCTACCGCGATACAGTAGCACAATGGATGATATACATCATGTGACTATCGTGCCGGTACATACATAGAGTAGCGTGCTCAATAGCCTTGTCCCCATGCCGAAGAATGCAGAATGTATTCGACCACGTTTAAGCTGCACTACGTCGCGCGGCTCGAAACCTTGCAAGATCTATATCGTTACTCGCAATGCCACGTATAGCATAGTACGTTGCTTTCGAAGAGGTATAGTGCGTGTTTTCTGTTGAAATCACTTTGTTTTTGAGGGGAAATCGTCTTCCGAGCTGCTAGATTGCCTTTTCGCTACGTTTCTCGCCTAGCAGAAAGTTGTTGACATGGGTCTGCAAAACTAGGAGCCGAGAGCACAACAGGCTTGAAAAATCCCCAACCAGCAGAAGCAACTGGCGATGACGTCCGACTACATACAGCTTTAGACAGGGATATACTGAGAAGGTTTGTTAACGTTTCCACCATCTAGCTATTGTAGGACTCGCATGCTGCTTCTTTGTAGCTGTTAGCACCACTTGTGAAGGAAATAAGCCTTTGATCTTTTAGATTTCATCTGCTCGTCCTCTTGACAAAGGGACTCGTGTAAAAAAAACTTCATCCAATTTACCCGCTGCACCACCGTTCGTGTACGGCAGGTTAAGGAATAATTCTAAAGATTGCACTGGTTTTGAACAATAAGACAAAGGTGGTTTGGTCTCAGGAACTTCTCCCACAGCACGTAGATCGCAGAACGAACCATACGTGCTTTCAAAAGTAGGTGCTATGGGCGACCGTTTGCTTTTGGGTGTGCAAGAACGCTAGCCATGGCGGCAGCCTTATAGTCCGCATCTCAAGTAATTAGAATATTAGTGAATTTCTTCCGAGTGTTTGTGTACACTAGTTCAATGTTCTTCATAATGTCGAGGAGCAGGCAATAAGCCAGAAGGATCTATGATGATTTTTTCAGAGCGAGCAAGCAGACGCTTAAAACTGGCTGGATTAGCTGTGGTAGAAACTTTCATTGAAAAATATGAAGAGGTCAGCGAACAACAATTGCCTCGGAAGAATCCGGTAATATCATAATGTTATCACCAGAACTTGCCAACTGGGTGACATCAGCTTAAGGCGATTAGGGAGGGCATCAATTCGTTACCAGGTACGGCAACATTGTGTGCGTGACCTGTATAGACTGTGGGGAGTTGGAAATCAGTCTGAACACGCACAACGACGTCCAGCGGCTCTAGAGGCCTGTCACTTTCTCCAAGCTCTGCAAATGCAAGACCAGGAAAGCTTACTGACAAATGAGGGTGCCCTGGAACAAGGTCGATTGCAGAGTAAAACGGTATTTCAGTCTTTTCTGGTAAGCTGTAAGGTTAGGCCAAGGGCAAAAGCAATACATACCTTTCTGTATAGTTTTGAAGATACAATTTGTTTCCTTTATTTAATCTGGATATAATACTAACTTAGTGAGATCGATTAAGGACGAATATCTTTAATAATAAATAGGAACGTATAATAAAATGTGCATTATATATATATATATATATATATATATATATATATATATATATATATATAAAGAATGTACACTAAGAACGAGCTCCTATAGCCCAAAAAAGATGAGGGAGTTAAGGCCCCTGGTAACACTATACGCTTACTGGCTGGAAACGATCGCTTCGCCATTGACGATCGAAGGAAAAACGTTTACAAAGCAACAAACATGAGATATAATTCCGTTAGCGATTCGTAAAACAAGTGAGATATATTCATTTATTCATTCAACTGAATGCCTCCAAAGGCACCTGAGAAATAACGTGTTCGAATCGGAAGAATCAGAAAATGTAACACTGCGTGTCCATTAATTTGTCATGCTTGCGAATGTATGTATGTATGTATGTATGTATGCGTGCTTGTACTTACGTAGATCCAATCTCGCTAGTGAAAGCAAATGCGAAGTAAAATGAAATTACTTCGTTAATTAATCGGCCAGCCGTAGTGACGCTCCCTTCGCTGGTCTCTCTATCTCCGTTGTTAGCTTCTTGCGGGCCGTTTCGACACTGGCCCTTTTCGATGCCCCTTTTGGGGCTAAGCTGCCACTACCACGGTCAGAGTTCCCTTCACCGAACTCTCCTTTTTACATGCTGGGATGGACGGAGAAAAGCCAAAATAAAAAACCGAGGCCGGCAAAGCCATGAGACGAAGCCGCTATAGGGACACATAAAAACAAATCCCCCGTTGGCCGCAATGGCAGGAGCAGCAGCAGCTTTGTTTCAGCCGAAGCTCTCTGCCGGTACGACGGGCAGGATCTGTGCGCCAGGAGATTCTAGCGCTGCGTGTTACAAAGGTACTCGTGATAGTGGTGGCTGTGCATACATGCCGCCGTAGTAGCAATAGCAGCGGCAGCAGTAGCAGAGCGGACTGATTGCGAGTGTCTTAAAAAGCCACTGTCAGGCTTCGTTCCGACAGTCATGGTTCGCCGAGGTGCGGCTGAAGCTCAACTTGTCCGTATACACAACGGCACGCATGCTGTGCTACATCGCTTCTGCGCGTTCTCTCTTTATCCCGAGCGTTCAACTCATACACATGAACAGAATAGTCACTTACATATAGCTCAGACCCAGATAGTAACTGCATTTACTAAGGGAGAAAGACAATAGCGCACAAGAGGAGCTAAACTGGGTTTAGTGGGTGTCTCTGACGCTGGATTTAAGGAAGTCAGCGAAGAAGAGAGGCCCAGAAGAAGCTCACCCAGCCAGCGAACGAACGAGCGAGCCAGTGAGCGACCGTGAACAGACTCTAGGCAGAAACAGAGAGTGTCAGCAAGAGCTGGCAGAGGAACGAAAAAAAGCCTTCATAAGACAACAACAGAGGGAAAAGACGCGTTCACAGCTGTACAGCAAACCAATAGACTCTGGTGCGATTGCTGTTGCTGCCGTAACTTGCATTGCAGTGAGCTTTCAGAGGAACAGTTAGAGCCCGGGGCAATTCAACAATAAAGGAGACCCAGTCGAAGAGGACGTTAGCAAGAAGCACCGTGTGGCGTAGTAGTACATATACACACGTGTGTGTATGTATATACAAATTGGTTACGAGCAACACATAAAGACAGGCGGGTGATCGATAACTTTTAGCTGCTTTACTTTAAGTTTGAAAGGCAACTTGACAGTTTTATGCGGGTCCGGTTTCGTTTGAGTGCTTGAGCAATATACTATACATTGGTTTGGACAACTGATAGATACAGTCAAATATAGATAGGTAAAATATATCTTTCTTTATATATTGCGGCTTACGGTATATACAAGTACTTTTTGTTGTTGCGTGCTTTTTTTTTTTGGAAAATTTTATGCATTAAATGTGTGTTTATTTGAAAAATGAAAAACCCGAAATGGCAAGTGTATGGTTTATTCATTCTTTTTATTGATCTATTGCAATTCTAAATAATGAAGAATAAATATTTTGCAGAAATTGAAAATGGCTGACTGATTGTGGTTGTCTATTCGAAAGCGCCCTTGATATGAACCACTTCCACCGGGTCTACGATAATGTCAGACGGCGTATGGTGGTTGGAATTGATTGAATAGTGCAACATCTGTAACAAAAAGCCTATGTAAGGAAAACGGTATGCTAGGAAATGAAACTTTCTTACTAGAACATTTGTTATTATTACGTTATAGGAGTAATAAAGTGATAAAAAAAAAACCATCATAATTAATCACTGATTTCCCATCGTATTATTGTATCACTAGATCATGTGCCAATCAAAGACTGTATACCTTGCGTGTAACTTTCATATGCCAAATATTTAATTGCAACTTGCCACTGCCAGGCAACTATTAATGTTACAAGATTGCCAAACGTTATATAGTTATCAGCCAAAACAGATATAAAGGATTAGAGTTTATATGCTTACACTTTCAGGGCCACGATCTGCGGTTAGCACAGGTGGATTCGAGATAGGATCGGCGACGTCATCGTCATCATCAATAGGCCGCGGCTGCTGGGGACGGGGAGGTTTGGTTGGAATCACAATGGGTCGGGATGGTAGTTGGGTCACGGGACGAGATGGCGGTTGCGTTACAGGAATGATCGGCCGTGAAGTCGGTGGTTCAACCGGAACCGGCTGAGGTCGAGGTTGAGTTACTGGAATGATAGGGCGTGACGTTGTTGGCGACTCAATCGGTACGACTACAGGTGGTGTGGAGGGTTGAGGCATAGGCCTAGGTGGCAAAGGTCGAACGGGCATTGGTTGCATGGGAGCGCCAGGAGTGATGATGACGGCACCAGGTCCTCCTGGCGGCGGGATCTGTGGCAGGGGCGGATATCCCTCGGGAATCGGAGGAAGTGGTGGAAGATTGTTGATCGGCTGCTGATAGCGACCTTCGTGATGACTCCATACAGCAGGGAAGTAAGGCTTGTATGCTCCTTGGATTGGATGATAAGCCGTTGAGAAATGCGGCCGAATGACAGGAATTGCATAGGATGGGACAGCGAAGAACGGCTGGTGAACGTGAAGTAGGCTTGAAGGAGCGGTGGAAGTATCGTGATCAAGGTGACCGGCAGAGGTAACAACAACGTACGATGGTGCTACGAACGGAAATGAAATTTCCGCAGCACCAATGCTTGTAACACCCAAAAGGGTAGACACGGTTATCTACAACAATCGAAAAAAAAATTAGTATAATGTTTTTTTTAAAAAGGGGCCTTATTCAAGCAAGCCGTATCACACGTTATACAATGTAACACTTCTGTGAAGGCAAATGTTGCGACCGTGTAAGTGTTGCACTATGTAGTTTAAGAACATACATAACACCTGTTCAAGCTAACGGAATAAGTTATGGTCATTAACATCCACAAAGCCTGCCACCTATGCACGTGAATGCGCCGCATGTACATTCTTACGAGACCCAAACTATGATAAAAAAGGAGGATATCATAGCTTGTGGTTTCTGAACAGTTCCGACATCGCCGCGAGCTACATTGAAGGTTTCCGACAAAATGTGAAGACTATCAGTCTGCAAGCCGTGCTACGGCATCAGATAGATAACGTGTGTTAGTTGCTACAACGCTGACTCAACAAGAGCGTCTGCGTCTGGCCCGGAATAATCTTCTTTTGCTGCTGCCGCTGTCGCTCTAGTTGCTAGCGTTATGTGAATTCAATTTTAATTGGACAGCGTTTTGTTAGGCTTTGTCAAACGTCCGGACGCTCTGGCTCGGCAAGATCCAAACCGGGCATATTCGGCTGTCCGCGATGGCCGGTGGTGACACTTGAAAGATGCAGCGTGTACTCGTTGAGCTGTCGATTTACCTTGATCAGCAGAACGGTCAAGAGTCAAATTTCTTAACAATTTCATTAGCAAGTCAGACAACAACGAGATGTCTTTTAGAGAGACAACGGATAGTCCAACATGAACAATCCGTCACAATCAGGCTGCGGTATTAAAGTCAACGATTGTTCTATGTGCTTATATTATGCCTTATATATAGTAAAGCTGACGGACGCTGTTAACGGTTATTGTTTCCTTTTCCATATCGATATTCAGCCATCGTTTTGGGTCGAAGCAATCGAGCGCCACGGCAGCAAAAGAGGAAGAAGCGAAAGCTTATTCGTACGAAGCAGTTGACGCCAGCGTCAGTAGCAGTATCAGTAGCGTGGCGCTAGAACAGGCAGTCACGGTGCAGTGGTGTTCCGTTGTCGTTGTCGTTATGATGGTCGTACTTCGGATGTTTTTTCGTTCATCCCAGAATGATCGGCACCTCCCAGTGTTGCCGCCTCCGACGGCCGGTAGATGGCTCGATCTGTGTCGCCAAATGTCATTCACCCACGAGGACTGGTGGCAGCACTAGCAACAGCGCCATATTTAAACAGTCGCGACTTTGTCCCTTCTTCTTCGTTGTTATTTGTTGGATGGGTTTGGCGGTTACAGTGGAGAACAAGCTGCACTACCTGAAAGGGAAGTGAAAACTGTCTGATCCGAACATCCGCCGGCTGGTCAGTTACCACAGCTTAGCGTGGCCGATCCTGTTGCACTGGGTTATCGTCTGCCCGCTTATCGCCAGTTACGCTAAACATTTCCTTGACGAGGACGTCTTACTTTGGACTGACGAAAACTAAAGTTACGCTGATACGATGCTGCTCCAGTGATTATCGTTCACACTCAAAAAAAATGAATCTGGCCATATTATTATGGACGGTAGTACTAAATTGGTTTGACGGTTGACGGGCAGGTACGATCACCTTGAACTGCGTAGAAAATTCAAGATAAATCGATATTTGCTTAGCAGCATCGACAGCAGCAAGCAGAGTTATCGTTATCGAAATTATCTTCATTAACTTTACAACCGGCGTATCGTATTTGTACACAAATGTCTAAGTACGTTGCAGCCGTTGTTTGTATTGGTCCTGTTCTCCTGCCGGAAAAATCATATAAGACGTTTTGAGCAAAGAAGATATTTGTTTCTGGAACGGCCGAACGTGGCATTTCCGCTGCTACTATTGTGATGTGAATTTTTTCCATGTAGGGTTATTGTTATCAGTTACATGAGCAGAATCAGTCGCGACTGTTACCGCAGTAGAAGCCAAAACAGAAACAGTAATATAAACTTGCTGAGATGCGATTATATATATCACTGAATGATAATCCTGTTTCTTGGATGGGCCACAGGTCGGATTTTGTCGTTCAAATGGTGGAACGGCCAACTCGGCGGCCGTATAGCAAAAGAATGGCCATTCATTCAAAATAGATTTGACATTATTGAATAATAGACCTCCTATAGCTGATGCAAATTTAGCACCGAGAACAGTTGTAGCCAAGCTAAAATTTTGAGTTCATTTGTGTGGCTTGGTGGCTAGCAACGATAGGAATGGCGTAGCTATTTTTCTTGCATCTGGATAGGATGACGGCGCACCTTTCATTGGGATTCGGCGATACAGAGCGTCGAAATACGTTTGATTACACCTAAACGCGGTTTAATGCTATCCGTGAAAATACAAGATGACTGGGTGAAGATCTTCACAGCTAACATGGAACGCTGACATCACAGTTTCATACACTGATACAAGGGGGTAAAGCATTTTCGAAATTGAGTACTAGAAAAATGGACGGACTTCAAAGGGATGGTTAGGAGAAAGGAAATGAACAATAAACATTGATCTCAATTGAACGTGGCGTAACGATTACGATAAACAGCACTAATCATTAAACACACCCAGACTATTATGTGTGTCATATACAGATATCGAAATGTTTCGTGGTTGAAAATTGAAGATTGCACGTAATTCGATTGTGAAGCATACTGCTAAGTTAGACTGTACGGGGGAAAGGCAACGTCATTGGTGAAGATCCAGTTACCTACATATCTGTGCTTTCTAGATTTGCATGGGATGCCTCATTGTAGTAAGTGAAGCGGACAAATAGTACCGAGCGTAGTTGGCATTTCTATGGCCATTTAAATACCATGGTTATATTTATATAGTTTTGTAGCATTTAAGGAAATTTCCGTAACTTTTCGTTTCGCATAAGTCAGGAGCAGAATGTTGAAATCGAAATCTGCTAAAAATCAAGCAATGTTAACGGGAAAAGAAATGTCATGTACTGACTGTTGCTGCGTCTAGGTGCGTCCATAGAAGTTAGAATGCTTCTTTAGTTTCATTCGTGCCACCTGAAAAAGTAGGTATGTCAATATTGAAGCATGTTCTACTCACCAGCAGCTGCATGAGTGCACAGATCCAGCCGATCGCCTGCTAAGCTCGGTCCGCTGTGTCGCGTGCGGTCTCGTGCGTCTACGGCTACGAAGACCAGCCGACGAAGCTCCCGCGCAAGAAGGATCCGAAGCGGTGAGGGATGTCTGTTCGGCGAGGGTTCGGACTTGTGTGGGACAGTTACGTGATGCCAACAACAGAAATTCAGACTGGAGTCGCAAGCTGGCTTGCTCAGTGGTGGTGAACGTATCCTTGTCTGATAGCGCAAGCCACAGGCAAACGTCACTAATATTTGTCTTCTAGGAAGAAAAATGTTTATTTCCAATTCCAAAGCCACGACGGCGAACCGTTTCTGACATAGCGTGAGTATCACTCACGCTCAATGGCATTTATCGTACATCTGCTGTACACAACTGCACACGGACAGACGTCAGCAGTCCGCGACGGGTCAAGTACTAAAAGTGAAGAACCATAGTCAGGAACAACCATCGAGAGGTTCCTGTGCTCTAAACGCTGGAAAAAAAACAACGTAGAGAGGCGCTCCAATCAAAGTGGGCGGGATGGGACGACAGCCTGCCATAATATACATTTATTAGACAGATACGATTTTCAATGTTCAGCTTTGGCTTTATGACCCGCTAATTCTTACCTGTCCTTATGTATAATTTCGATTCAATCATGAATTACGTTTATTTATGCTTTCTTCGGTAAAACAGGTATTGAGAAAGTTTACGTTTAGTTAAATTGCTTACGTTAGCCGAAAACAGTATAGATAGCGAGAATATACGCGAAAAGTTAATTGTTCATAAGCACATGGCGCTCGAATCGCCCCGTCTATGAATGTACGTTAGCCCCTGATGCCTCGAGGAACAAACGTCGTAACTTATGGCAAATTAAGAGTAATGGATCGGTGCTTCAAGAACCTCTATAAAACTATACCAATATCAATTTGCAATACAAACATAAATGCACCCAGTTTCATGCGTTTTTGTGCACCTGTCATTGACAAAGCGGCCGTCGCGAGAAAAGAACATGGAAAATATTGCATTTCGTTAAATGGAAATAAAAAAAAAAAAGAACAGCATTCACGATTACATAGAATTGTCTTATTTCAGCAAGCGGTTATCTAAACTAAGGAAGACAAGTCAGTCAGTGGCTTTTGCGACGGACTGATGAGGGTCATGTAATAATCATTATCGAGTCTTCATTAAATTGAGATGGACTTGGATTGTACATCGGGGCGTCTTAAAAATGATTATTCTGATAAGTAATGATAATGCCTTTAACTACTGAAATGTACGCAGTGTTATTCGAGCTCAGGAGGAGCAAAGGATTCGGCTATATATATATATATATATATATATATATATATTCTGAAAAACAACAGGAAGATTTTGAACATTTTCGGCAAAAAAAGTTGGCTTGAGGGGCGAACTATGTAAAAGAAGAGGAACACGGAATAAGAAACCTCATACCTTGAAAAACTCATTATAATACCTGAAAATACAAAAAAAAACAAGGTTTAACGGTACTCATGGGATGCGTTTGCGACGCAAACTGTAACAGGATCTACAACATACGCCCGCCCTTAGAAGCCATAAGCAACTCTGTCACGCTTCATTATTATAATTATCCTTATATATTATTATTATTGCACAGGTTCGACGTTATACAAACCATAGGACCCTACGACCCGGAACTATATATATATATATATGTATAAATTTTCTAGTAAATGTTCAGTTATATTTTCTCGTTTTCCCTTGTACTTCCGTCACAAACATAGACATTCAGGCTAAAAAAAATAATAGCCGTAAGGAAAGTAAGAAATGCCTAAAATGCTCAAGTTCATCTCACTACGTGTCCTGCTGTCAGCATAGAAACTAAAAGGGCGGGTTTTATTAGGTTAGGTAAAACTGCTGGTCAGGTTTCACGAGTGGTTCAAGCACAAACAAAACAAAGGAAGCTTAGGATAATAGCTAAAATACCTACATAGATACAATAGATTTCACTCAGAAAGCTCTCGGATAACATTTTTTTCTCAAAGCTGAAGTCAGAAAAAGCGCCCTGAGGATTTAAATTGCAATAACCTTCGCAAGCTCTATTCAATGTTCCGTATAAAAGTGACTGAGCTACGTAACGCCATACGCCACGTAGGACCAAGCTCAAGTGTGCAAGCAGTATACAAATACACTATATTTCGCACTGTAATAAGTATCAATTCCGTTTGAGAGTATATGTCGCACTCTTCAGGTCACTTAAACAGCGAAATTTATCTACATATATAGGTCGTCTACCCTGATTATACCATACTTATATGAGACAGTTTTGATGATCATATAGATGGGTTAAGGATAGATTTTACTATCTAACCTTTAATTTATCATGAGTAAGAGATAGAATGGAAACGACAGGGGGCGCAAGTGGGAACGAGCTGCCATGGACAAGCCAACTTTTGAAAGAAATATGTAGATGGCGGTGTCTTAGGTCAAATTATTAACGGACCACAAGCGTCGTCAGGCAGAAGGCAGTCCTTGTGCGCATGGTCGATGCTGACCACTGGCCACGTCGGTGCGGATAAAATTTTTGTGCGCCAATTTTACCATGATTACAAGAGAGCCAGCCGGTCATTGATAGGAATGATGACACACTTGCCGTCTCCATTCATCAAACCCGACTTGACTGTGGCTAGCTTGCTTTCTACGCTGAGTGCTCTCTAGCTAGACGTGGCCTCTCGTCCCTTGTGTCTCTCCGAACCCCGTTAAGCCGTTTCGCTCTTAAACCTGTGTCTAAAGTGTTCATCTCGGTACGCAGTGTGGATGAGAGCTCGTTCTTTCCCTAAAGCTGGAGTTGGTGACAGCCTTGTGGAAAATGGTCAGTCGGTTAGATAAGACGGAGCCCCTATGGCGAGACATCAGCGTAATACCTTTCTCTGCTCAGATACTCACCCGCACGAACAGGCACACACCTACGCTTTTAATGGATAATGCCCAACTCGCTTTTGGTTCATTCATTTTCATTGTTTATTCAGGACCAGTGTGCCAGGCCAAAGCCACTTTCATTTTTAATCGAACCCGTTCAAACGATGCAATCGCGTGTATGCCGCTTCGTTCCACTCAGCACTCGGCGGAGTGGACGGTCCAGGAACCGCCCTGTCTCTGCAGGCCATTTTCGATATGTGTATATATAACGATATTGTGCATTCTCGATCACGAATTTTTACGATGGATAGTGTGGTCTACCGGATAGCTTTGCCAGCCGTTCCGTACCAACACAGTTAAGATCATACTTAATTACCGTAATATGTTAATAGATCAGCTTTAATGTGAGTGTTTAGATCAAAAGCTGCAACTACATCTTTTCCTAGGTATCTATGAATATTGCCTTTTTGAATGACTTCATTTTGGTTACTAGTTTAAATATTATACTGTCAGTGTATGAAAGCCACCTATTTGTTGTTATTTGGAGGAACGGTATCCGCTACCAATGTAGATAAACAAATTATACCTGCTATATATATATATATAAATAGAAATAAAAACATTCACAGGTATGTAGATAAAGGACAAGTGGAAAATTGAGCGAACTCTCTATGTTTCAAAAATGAAGAATTTGCAGCTTCGTTCATACTAGCCTTGCGAACTTTTAGATCGCGTTAACTTGATCGATAAATCCTCAGATGCAAAGCTGCACTGCTTCAAATGTTCTTCATAAGACTGCAACAGGAAACTCTATAACCTCGAGTACCCATGATGTCTACCCGCTTGTACTCGCAGGATGGTGTTGCAGCCTCAACGGGATGGCTGCTTATCCGCAACGCCACACCTCATCTGATACTAAACAACGACTAGGGATAATAATTTTTTTTCAGATGAAATTAAATATAAATAATTGGAATAGACTTATCTTACATTTGAACTAGGCTCTTCGAGCTAGTCAGATGCGTGTCTGAATCCGTATCAATGACCATCGTAGTTGCAGGCCGCAACGTTCCATTTTAATGGCACTTTTGGATGGAGCTTGAGTTGTTCTTAAGAGAGAGAGAGACAAAAAATGAAACAAAAGAAGACGCGTCTGAGTTGATGCGAAACCAGAACTTCTTCCAAAGCCTATCTAACTTATTTTATCTGCATGAGCGAATACCAAGCTGGCCTTAACATGGTCAATTTCTAGCTATTCGGTCCAGTACAAAACACTGAAACGTAACCAATGCTCTATTACAGTCCCAGGTTAAACGATCATTTGTCATGGTTTAGATAGCTTGCTCGGGACGCACGCAAAACGAAGTTACAGATTTTTCATCTACAAATCATTGAAAACAGAGGTACAGGTAGGTGCTTATATGCGCCAGTTGCTCCTGTGGTCACAGCGGTAGGCGAATCAATTGCATCGCAGGTTTGTGGTAATTAAACACACCCGGTAGTTGCTACCAAGCGGGCAACGCTTTCTGCTAATTAAGCTTTTTTTTTCTTTATCATTGTTTGTTGGCTTTTCCTATTCAGTTGACTATGAATGTCCCCCGACAGCAGATCTGGACAACAAATCAAATAAAGTCAGACACAAAAAATAGAGTTTGTACGCTTTTGACGCTTGCTGCTCGTTTCAGCAGCTGCCCACAGACATTTCATCGACACAACTGTCGGAACAACTGAATAGAACCGGTCGTGTGTTTTTGCTTCCGACGAATTTCTGCTGTTCTTCCATCCGTTGTTGTTTTACAGATCGCGCACCTTGTCCAGAGCTGATAAGCCCCTCTCCGTCTTGTACTCGTTACCCCCCCCTCCCCCCTACCTATCATTGTTCTATTCTGATGTCTTGTGGCTGCGCCCTTTTAAAGAGAACAAGAAATATTATACGATAGTGCGTATATGTACGTGTAAAAAAAGAATGATATGCAGTGTGTAGTATACTAACTATTCCATAGATCAGATGGTAAACTACACAGACTCCCTTCTCCGCTCCGCGCAAAAGGCCACGAAGAAAGAGGATGTAAAAAGGGTAGCCATTGTTGTTGGTGTTTGGGGGGAGAGGGGATACTTAGTTGGAAAGGGGCATTGTTGTTGGTAAGTAAAAAGGTTGGCTGCGTCGAAATAGAGCAAATACGAGCGCTATTTAAGAGGAAAGGGATAGGGAGGACTTGCCCCGGGAACGGACATTGAAGAAACGAAGAGACTCTACCACCAGCGGCTGGCGCTTATGAGCGCTACTCATGAGTTAAATGTAGCGTCATGTGTTTTCCCTTTTGTACTCTCAGCCAGCTTTTTTACCGTTTTGACAAATACTTACCCCATTAAACCCTTAGCATAGACAGCCAGGCTCTTTGTCGTTGTTTAGCTCTTGTTGGCTGTCTCGCCCGTTGTCGTCCGTAGACGTAGACCGTGCGCGTCTGCTAACCCTTAGCTCGCGGGTCAGGCTTTCGTTGCTAAGAGACAAGGCAAAAGGACTTGTGGGGCGGGGACCTAAGGCTTGGTACGGGGATAAGCCTACAGGAGCGAATGGTCCGCAATGGGCAGTCATATTTCAACGCGGGGTCAACGCCGAGAGCTA